CTCTCTCTTGGTTCCGCCAAGATCCTGCTCCGCAGTGAACCCTCTCTGACTCCTCTCTTGGCTCCGCCAAAATCCTGCTCCGGCAGTGATAATGCAGAATAATGGGTGCACGCAGCTTCGTGCTACCGCCCAAGCTATGCTGCTATGTTTGATAGTGCTGTTGCTGTGTTCTCATGCTTTGCTACTGACTACGGTCGTGTGCACTTTCTGAACGTGTCATTGAACATGTCACTCAACGTGTGGGCGACGTGCAACGTTTCTTAGTTAATGTGTATGTGTCTGTGTGTGTGTGTGTATATGTGTGTCCCATATGGTGTAGTGATATGCGCAGTCGATTTCCAATCGAGAGGTTGCGGGTTCAATTCCCGACGATTATGGCCGCACACGACTTTCTTCTCTTTCTCATACTCCTACCCCTTCTTTTATTCTCCTGGGTGGTTACCAACAGCCAGTGTATGCACGACTATGTGGTGTGGTGTGTGTGTCAAAAAAAAGAAAAAGAAAAAAAGGAAAAAGAAAAAATAGGGATTCACTGGCCAGAAAAAGCCACTTCAAAAGCAGCTGTGTGGTGGATACCAGGCCAAAAATTAGTGGCGGTCAATCCATCAGCCTTGCAAGCTGTTGAATGGTGTAATCCCAGCACAAGTTGCTATGTCTAACATAGCTGTTCGCTATCATCACTTCCGCAATGGGCATGTATGAGTATGAGTGTGTGTGTGTGTGGGTGGGTGTGTGTGTGTGTGTGTGTGTGCGTGTGTGTGTGTGTGTGTGTGTGTGCGTGTGACGGTCAATTCTTCAGCCTTGCTGTTGAATGGTGCAATCCCAGCACAAGTTGCTATGGCTTCTACCGTAGCAATGCTATCATCGCCTTCGGCGATGGGAATCAAAGGTCAAGGTCAAATGTGTGCGTGTGTGTGTGCGCGCGTGCGTGTGTGTGCGTGCATGCAGGGGTGCGTGTGTGTATGTATGTATGTGTGTGTGTGTGTGTGTGTGTGTGTGTGTGTCTTCAAACAGCTGTGTAGTGGATACCAGGCTAAAAATAGTGGCGGTCAATTCATCAGCCTTGCAAGCTGTTGAATGGTGTATTCCCAGCACAAGTTGCTATGTCTAAAATAGCTGTTCGCTATCATCGCTTCCGCAATGGGCATGTCTGAGGTCTGAGGTCTGAGGTGTGTGTGTGTGTGTGTGTGTGTGTGTTCTGCGTGTGTGCGTGCGTGTGTGTGTGTGTGTGTGTGTGTGTGTGTTGTTTTTGTGCTCCTTGGGAGCAGGTTACACTTTCTGAGCTCCGTGTTCTTGGCTTTCTCCAAAGTTTTTCTGCCTGCCCAGGGCGACTCTGGCGTAGCCAGAGTCGACCCTGGAGCACCCTCGCACACTGCCAAGGTAGTGCTGCATGATTGGAGCGCGGAATCGCGATGTAGCTTGCAGGACAATTTACTTCGATATTGTCACTGCTGCGTCGGCCGTGGTCCACCACTCGCAGTGGAGTAGCTATCCCTCGAGTGCTGTGAAGAATCCAAGCTCGAAGAATGCAGTGGTGGGAATTGCGGATTGGCTGGTGGAGTGCTGGAACAGGTCGTTGTTTCGGTGGAGTGGACGAGCAAGTGCGGAGAGGAAGGTCGCAATGGCGGAATGGTGAGAATTGAAACTTCAATCTTTCGTCGTCATGAGTGCACTGGTCAAGCGTTGCGGAAGTCTGTCGGATTTGTGAGGCATTGCCCTGCCGCTTACATCGTCAACGTGGAAGAACTGCTAGTGGAGTCCTGGTGGGATTTCGGATGCCCACACTCCTTTTGCTTGGTGGATTCTTTCGTGGACAGTGTTTTTTTCGTGGCGTGAAATTTTAAATTTTTTTTCTTTCCTGTTCATTTTCAGTTGTTGTCACTGTAGCTGTCAGGTTGTTGTTACAGTACTCGAACATGATTGTACAGCAGTCGTCCGTTCTGCTCCATTGTTTCATCTGTTTTGCCAGTTCTGCTAGCTGATTCTCTTTATTTGCCACTGCCCCTCATAGTGCTCATGCTTGGGTGGAGGGCGGCGTGACCCGTTTAGGGTAGCTGTATCATATTAGTAGTAGTAGTGTGTGTGTGTGTGTGTGTGTGTGTGTGTGTGTGTGTGCGTGCGCGTGCGTGTGTGTGTGTGTGTATGTGTATGTGTGTGTGTGTGTGTGTGTGTGTGTGTGTGTGTGTGTGTGTGTGTGTGTGTGTGTGTGTGTGTGTGTGTGTGTGTGTGTGTGTATGTTGGTTTGTTTGAAGGGGTGTCGCACATGGTACGGTCACTACGGTACTGACCGTACCACTATTTGCCGAAAGCACCCGTGGATCAAGATAATGTACTGATTTGGGCTCTAATTTTCCAAAATTTCGGCTCGGCCACCCTCCCCCACGAGTAAATTGTACTTCAGATGGCTGACCGCATCACACTAAATTACCTTCCGACGCCCCTGCTGTGTGTGTGGGTGTGTGAGAGAGAGAGAGAGAGAGAGAGAGAGTGTGTGTGAGTGTGTGTGTGTGTGTGTGTGCACGCACATGCGTGAGTGCGTGCGCCATAATTATGGTGCAGTGGTATGTGCAGACAATTTCCAATCGTGAGGTTTTAGGGGTTTTACATCGGGCCTTAGACGACCACTAAAATGGCCAACCGGGCAACAAAGAAGTTGAGGCCAAAGACAATGATTTTATTTCTTGCGCATGCATACATAAGAAGTGGCGTAATAGGAGTCGGGTTGCTACAGTACTCCCCTGCCAGGGTGAGGTCGGGAGGAGTGAAGCACGATAAACAAGAAAAAGAGAAAGAAAGGAAGTGTGGCGTGTACAAGGCGGAAAGGAAATAGAAAATAGAATACAATATGCACAAGAGAGCGATGTGTGTTTTTGAAATTTGTTGACAACGTGGCAACAAAGACCGAAACAAAAGTCGAAGAGCAGGAAGTGGAAAACAGAGAGATGCATGACAGAGGCGGGTTAACGTGTCAGAGGTGTGTTAACGTGACAGAGGTTGAGGGCATGTCGGAGGCAGAAGGGAAGAAAAGAGGAAACGTTCGCGTAACATAGGAGTGTTATCATGTCAGAGGCGCCTGCATGTTGCAGGCTTGGCGGGGTACCAGCAGGAGCACTGCATTGGGCGAGGTGTGCCGGGTGAGGTGGGGACTGATAGAGGCGTGCATAGCTCCACTTGTAAGTCCGGTGAGCCGTGCGTATGGCTGCGTTTGTGCACTGTTGAGCTGGTATGGTGGTGATGGCAGGATGAAAACTCCGAAAAGTGCAAGTCGGGGTCACCAATTTAGGGGCTTTACGTCAGGCCCTAGACGACGGCTACAATGGCCAACCGGATCACAAAGAAGTTGAGGCCAAAGAGAGTGATTTTATTTCTTGCTCTTGCTTATGTATGAAGTGACGTAATAGAAGTCAGGTCACTACAAGGTTCCGGGTTCAATTCCCGACGATTATGGTCACACACGTCTTTCTTCTCTTTCTCATTTACCTAGCTCTTCGTTCATTCCCCTGTGTGGTTGCCAATAGACAGTGCATGCCAGAGCATGTGGTGTGGTGTCTGTATGAAAAAAGGAAAAAGCAAAAAAGGGGGTTCAATGGACAGAAAAGTTACTTAAATCAGCTGTGTGTTGTAGACCAGGCATAATGGTGGTCAATACATAAGCCTTGCAAGCTGTTGAATGGTGTAATGCCAGCACAAGTTGCTATGTCTAACATAGCCGTTCGCTATCATCGCTCCCATGATGGACATGGCTGAGTCGGAGTCGGAGTCTCAGTGTGTGTGTGTGTGGGGGGGGGGGGGGGGGGGGGCTCACACACATATGTAAGCATGTGATTGTGTGTACCATACTCACTCGATTAGAAGACCCTCTGGAATATAAACCCTCTTGAATAATAGCCCCCCCCCCCTTTTACAAGCACTGTCTAAAAAAATCTCTCGAATAGAAGCCCAGACTCCTATACGCGAAGCGTGGGGTGACCAGGTAGTGGCATGTATGTCAATTGCGTAAAAAAACATCTCATGTATGTTCATAGTGGTACATGTCCTGGCCAACGTAGTGTGTGCAAACTAACTCGGGGCCAAGTTGCTGTGAATATTAAAGTTGTAGAGATTCGATTGGAATACAGGTATGGAATGAAACAATAAAAAACCCTCTCGAATAGAAGCTCCTCTTGAATATAAGCCCCGTCAAAATTGGTATTGAAAAATACAAGATCCCGGCTTTTAATCCAGTGAGTACTGAATGTGTGTGTGTGTGTGTGTGTGTGCCTGTGTTTGTGTGTGTGTGCACTTGTGTGTGTGCATGTGTGTGTGTGTGTGAATGTGTGTATGTGTGTGTGTGAATGTATGTGTGTATGTGTGTATGTGTGTGTGTATATGTGTGTGTATGTGTGTATGTGTGTGTGTATGTGTGTGTGTATATGTGTGTGTATGTGTGTGTGTGTGTATGTGTATGTGTGTGTGGATGTGAAATAATATGATAAGTCTCGTTAAAAGACTTTTTTTAGGGGTGAAAGTTGGCACTGAGATCCCGAGTTCGAGTACTTTGATTTTCTCCGATCGAATATTCGAGTATTCGAGTATTCTTGATATCCGAAAAATCGCACACCAACCGCCTCAAAAACACACGATACAACCCTGATTGAACCGATTAGCAGTTCTTTTCTCGGGTGTATTGGTTGGTGGATCATTTGGGCTGTCTCTACTCGTGAACAAATGTTCACCACACAGTCTGCACATCAATATCTGCTGACTGCTGCTCTGAAACTGCAGACTTCTGTGGTAAATGTATGTACCATGTATGAGCAAGTACTCTGATTTATTCCGAGTAAGATTATATTCGAAAAATCCAAACGAGTATTCGAATATTCGGTATAATTGTTTCACCCCTACTTTTTTATGTCCCGTAGATTATGTAGTAACGAGAGATGACCTGTACACAGTATTGAACTCTTGAAGGACATAGTCATCACAGTGTAGAGTTTTAAATACATTTCGTTTTCATGCAGGTTTTCACTACTGATGGAAACTTCATTACCATGTTCGGATCACACGGAGAGTCAGATGGTCAGTTCAAGTTCCCTGACCACATTGCCGAGGATAGGCATGGGCACCTCCTTGTCACTGATCATCTCAACCACCGTGTTCAAGTAAGCTGATTAGTGATTAGTTTGTCTTACCCGTTTGCTTCTAGCACTACTTCTGTTGCCAAGATACATCATACCCTGTTGCAAGAGTGTGAAGCTGTAATTGCAATGCATTTGGCCATTTTAGATTGAGAAGTCTCACCATGTGCTAGACTGGCAAGATGAAAACCTTCTACTGAGGTGGATTGATGACACTCGAGCCATTGCTGAGAGAAATACATTCATTTGCAGTGTGGATATTGTGACAATTAGAAACAAGAAACCAGTGATATACGGTTTCTTTTGGGCCAGGTCGAACACTTTATTGTCGCCCTTCGTACATATCCAGGGGGTAATAGTGTACAAAAAAACATCAAAATGAAAGCAATCTCTGGTGGAAGGGGGAGAACATCTTCAACACATCAGCAAACCCGGGACTGTGTGCACAATGAACCCTGTTGCATCTGCACGAATACACCACATAACTGCAGTAGCTGTGGACCAAGTGATGTGAACTATGCCATCAAGGACCATGTCTATAAAGTTGTGCACTCTTGGGTGGTTTCAAGAGCTCATGGGTGGCTAAGCACTCCTGGGTGGCTAAGCACTCCTGGGTGGCTAAGCACTCCTGGGTGGCTAAGCAGTCCTGGGTGGCTAAGCACTCCTGGGTGGCTTAGCACTCCCGGATGGCTAAGCACTCCTGGGTGGGGTGTATTTTATCGATTTTAAAATTACAGAACAACAAGGCCAATCAAGGCTTGTTTGTCGCTACTTCAAGTTTCACAATCATCCGGCAACACTGCCTTCGCCGTATTGAGCACTGTCAGCACGCTGGGTGCATCCTACGGTCATTTTTTATTTTAATTACGGACTCTTTGGGGTTTGCTCTTTGGGGTTTGCTCTTTGGGGTTTGCTCTTGCTTCCATTTCTTTTTAAGGAGGCTCCCAGCTATAGGAGTAAAAAAAGGTCCATGGACACCCTGTTTTTTATAAATAGAATTGTGCAGTGATGTTTCCTCTTCACTTTGGTATAGTTTTTAGGTATGGTCACCAGGCATGTAAGAGCTATTCCGGGGCATTTAGTCAGTGTACAATTTCTTGATTTTCAGCAAAAAACGGCAAAAAATCGTTATTTGCCCACAGAAGCCTAGTGTGTTGTGGATACCATATATTTTTTGGTAAATGGTTCAAGCATCAACTGTGGACAGGTCTAGGGTGAAATATTCAAACTTAGTGCTTTCCTGTCATGTGTAGAGCCCCTAGTTTGACATTTCCCGCTTCCGAATCTCATTCGAGTGTCAATCGCAAAAAATGGTCTTGCCTGCAATATGTTGTCCATGGACTCCCCTGTTTTTTTTTGGTGGTCTGTGTTCCTTGAGCTCCCTTGTTTCCAATCATGAATAGTTTTGATGGTGTCACCAGGCACTCTAGGCCTCTCCCAAACAAAAAAGGTAGGGACATGTTGCATTTTCGGCCCATTCTGCAAATACCAGTTTGCAGCAATTGAAGGCACTTTTGAAGTAAGCACATCACACAGAGATTGCTACTGGAATCATAGTCTTGTTCTTGTGACGAATACTCAAGCTAATGGCTCTTTAAGCCATGCAAGATAATCTGCATCTGGAAAATAATATCCTTCAGCCTTGCGCTGACGATATAGGGCCAAGGTCTGCTTCGACCTAGCCGGTTGCTGGACGGGTGCTGCTTGCTCTGGACCCGCTGCCTGGTCACCGTCGCTAGTCTGCAGGGTGGTCGCTGCATCCATCTACTCCTGGAGCTTTGCAGTGTCCTTCTTGCACCTTGTGGCCCTGGGCTTTGTGCTCCCCGCACCTTCTGGCTCTGCCAGCAGACTCTGCAGGCCACTGCGAGAGTGGGCCAGCTTCAGATGGGCCATCGACAGGCCCGACTTGGCAATTTTTAGGCACATGGCATCCGACAAAGCAGACTGGGGTATATGCTGCCGGATCTCTGCAGCACGTGCCTTGCTATGGCGATCGTGCTCGTGCCTGGCTGCAGTGGATTCCACCGTCAATGAGACTGCCAGGTGCTGGTCTGTGGTGAAAGGTGAACAGAGGATATATACACCACTCATTTGTAACAGGCATAATATGTAGCTCTAAATGTATGGACCACAATATGCATAACATAGCAACAAACACAGCGAAATAAGCTGACAGGAAACGGGAATATTTTTTTTGAAGCATAGATAAGTACATGATGGCATTTTTGCTTGCGTTTCATTGCAGTGGCCTAAGGCACCTGTGGAGAGCATTACGAAGCTTTGACAGTGCAAGGACATCTGCTTCAGCATCATGGGCTGAATAGCTGAGGTCGAGCAAAGTCGACGCAAGACTCTCTTGCCGGTAGCTCTGCAGACCTAAAGGAATGAAAAAGCATTGAAAATGTAAACATCAATGAAAGTCTCTTATGATCAATAAGAGATTGTGAATGCATGGTGTAATGTGATCACATAACTAGTGTTCCGGGAACAAGAAAATACAAATAGTGTCCAGTACCTCATCCACAGTAATGTGTGTTACATGGATAGGCTGATCGGAATGCAACGAGGCTGTCAGAAAACCTGCTGACAGTCCTCTGCAGGTCCTCCACCTTGCCATAGCGCGCAGCTGCAACTAGCAGAATATGGCTGTCGTAGGTACGCATATTATGCGCCACCAACACCACAGGCTTGGGGAAAGCACTCAGCCACAGAATCAGCTGCTGGAGTGCATCAGCACAAGGTGAGGCCGGAACTGGATTGCCATTCTTTTTCATTATGGTCTTTCCAGCAACAAGACACTTCGACAGCCCAGTGACACCAGTTGCTTCAGCTGAAATCGGGCCGGTAGGCAGAACATAGCTGCTGAATGCCAGGTCACCATGTCATGCGGCAATCTGGGTAATGGCTGCATCATGACCGAGACCTGATGCATGACCAGAGAAAGGCACACAAACATCACTAATTGACGACCTTGCATGATCTCTAATGATAACTCTAGGTTTCATAATACGTGTAACTTGTCAACAACCACAGCCAAAGAAACTGAGAGGAAATGGGATCGTTCAAGGATCGTAGATGGGAACAAAATGACAATTTTCGTGACTTGAACATTGCAATGATGTTCCTGTTGTCTCAAGGTCGAATGCAACGAAGGAGGGTTGCTTTTCAGAAATGGCTATGGGCTGAAAGTTGACAGATGTCAGTGCTGGTATATCACTGGTATTTTCCCTGCTTTCAGTGAGTGCACACTCACTCGCATACTGCACACCTTCGTGTACTTCTGCGCCCGACTGTTTTTGACCACGACCTACACAAACACGCATGCACATACACACACACATACAGACACACACACACACGCACACACACACACACACAAACACACACACACACACACAAGCACAGAACCAGAAGAGAATTATTGTATTTGATTTGCACCCTTGGTGATTCGGTCCGAAGAGCATCACACCACTAGAACAAAAGAAAATTCAAAAATAACAACACGAAGCACGCAATCGAAATTACCTTCACATTACCTTCTTTCAAAAATAGACGCCGCCGTTTGGACTTCTTGGCCAATTTGCGCCGTCTATCTGCAGAGCGCTACTTGTCCAGCTTGGTGCCCTGCTGTTTGGCATGAGAGCTGGGAGAAAGACCAGCTTCTGAGCATACAGTTGATACATATGTGTAGGCTGCAGTGCAAGCACCAAAAAAGAACATAATGAAGGCTTATGAAACAGTGTTACACCTCTTACAAAATGTGCTACCATGCAGTCGACAAACAGCGAGAACAAAATGAAATATTACCAAACTTCTAGCAAATTTCAAAACAATTGACCAGATAGCCTGTCGTTCTATTTACTCACCAATATATTTTTGAGCGACAGCCGCACCAACCCGGAAGTTGAAGGATGGTGATTTGTCATAACACCGAGTCTTGGGATGCTTGCTAGCAATGGTATTATTTAGGCTCTCATTCGCTTGTGAGCTGCCGTGACTCGCAAGCTTCTCTGCATTGCTAGCGTACTGTCCAAACAAGTCAAGGAGAGCTGCCTTAGTCTTTGCGCAGGACAAGTCTTGGCCATATGGCAAACTTTCATGTCGGTAAGTGGAGGGATTCTTCTTGTACCTACACCACTCTTCACGGTTGTCATGCTGCCCATACTGGTGAGGAATGCAGCAAAGGTGGTCCTTCTTCAGTCGCTCAGGGTCACCTTTGTGCTGGTTCACAGCATACATAAAGGATTTTTGCAAGTGCTTGATCACCTGAAAACAACAAATTCACATTACCAGGCAGTCTATATCATCTTTTTTTGAAGTATCATTTTTATTTGCTGATTCGCAGAACCTGTACCCCCCCCCCCCCCCCCCCGACACACACACCCTCCTCTTTTTCTACATCGGTAATTTATCGCGCAGCAGCAGCAGCAGAAGCAGCAACAACAACAATCTCTTATTGGAGATGGTGCCATAGTGAGAATTCAAAATTCAAAAACAGCCAAACACAAACAAGCTGAAAGGTTACCTTGTCCGAAAGCTCCTTGTGACCCTCCGGTTTTACCTTGTACAGGTGATTGCCAAGGTTCTTCTTCACATGATTCAAATCAGAACTCTTGGCAATATTTTTTCCACACTCCTCACGCATCCGTTTGATGGCCGATGAATCATCATCACCAACAAGCACGTCAATGCTGATGCCTGAGTTCTGCAAAGTTGTTCATATTTCCCCTGCAGAGTCGCCCTCCATTGCCTTTGCCAATTTGTCGAAGTTTTGGCGGCAATCATGTTTTGGTGCGGTCTTGCCGACACGGCTAGAGTGTGAACAGGCAGCACAACTTTTGATGCGGGTTGCATAGCCAATGATCTTCCCTGTATGGATCCCGATACCATGACCAACGCCTGCACAAATCTAAACAATGTAATTTCCGGCTATCTCACTTAATTGGCTGAGCTTTGTTTTCCTCCCTGTTCCTTTCTTGGCTGAGCTTTGTGTTCCCCCTGTTCCTTTCTTTCCACTGTTTTCT